CAGAATAAAAGAGCTGACTGAATTTGAAATTTGGGTGGGGGGGAGGGGCCCAACTACCCGTTGACATAACCAACCCCGGTAATCATCCCAAGGATAAATGTCGCCATGAGCGTATTTGCGTAAGATTTGCTTAAGGACACCGTTGAGACGTTCACATTTGCCGTTAGTCCTTGGATGGAATGCTGATGTAAAAAGATGGTGAGCGCCAACACGAGCCGTATAATGAGCAAGTATGCGTGACATGAAATTGGGACCCCTATCCGTCAAGATTTCTTCAGGCACTCCAAAACGCATGACAATCTCCTTGTAAATGATATCGGCAATGGCTTCAGCAGTTGCATCAGGCATTGCTACCGCAATTGGCCAATTCGTAGCATAATGAACAGCTACTAATATCCGTCGATTACCCCTTGCTGTTCTTGGTAACTCGCCAACGAAATCCAAATGCCAACGACTGAATGCTTCCGGAATACTCAATGGGCGCGTAGGTGCATGATGGACATGTTTTTCGGCACCCGATGCTAATTGACAACGTGGACATTGACCTAACCAAGTAGTGATATCAGCTTGCATCCCTGGCCACCACCAACGTTTATGCATGATGTCGTAAATAGTAGTAGTACCAGCATGTCCACAACTCTCATGGTATTTTGTTACCAAATCAGCACGACGTGCAAAAAGTGCAAAACGGACCTCTCGCGTGGTGGATGAGTCTTTGATGGGCATCAAGCGAAATATACAACCATCACGAACCGTGAACTTCTTAGCGTTATCCTCCAATTGCTTGTAGATATCGTTGGGCCATTCGGAACGAGGTTGTATATAATACTTGGGCTAATCGGAGTCATGTGCCAATGGTGTTGCATAGAGGAAATCAGGTTCAAAGCTGGATGGTGATGGTGTTGAATTAGGGCCGCCAAGACGAGAAAGAGCATCGGGTACCACATTTGCTTCACCACGTTGGTATTGAATATCGGGTTGATACAGCTCAAAATCGGAAATCCAGCGAATGATTCGTGAGTTGGGATTTGGCTTGGAACGTAGATATTTGAGAGGCTCGTGATCCGTGAGCACTACACACTTGCTGCCTTCGACTAAATAACGCCATGTACGTAACGCATGTAGAATGGCTAGTAGTTCTCGTTCTTGTACTGGATAAGAACGCTCTTCCAAAGAAAACTTGCGTGACTCATAAGCCAGTGGATGCCAACGTCCCTTATCATCAGGTTGACATAACACTGGGCCTACCACCAAATCTGAAGCATCGGTCTCAATACGGAATGGGCGATCCATACAAGGTGCTTGAAGTACTGGTGCCACTGTAAGGAGATGTTTGAGGCGATCAAAGCTTTCTTGGCATGCAGGTGTCCATACAATAGGTCGACGTTTGGCACCTGTACCTTGCGTTAAATCTGTGAGAGGGGTGGCAATGCTGGCAAAATTAGGAATGCAACGGCGAAAATGCTGTACAGTTCCCACAAATGATCGAACTTCTTGAACGTTGGTTGGTGTAGGCCATGATACAATAGCTTTAACCTTGTTGTCATCAGGTGCTGTGCCTTCCGCTGAAACCTTAAAACCCAAAAAGTTGACATGGCGTTGGAATAAATGACATTTCTTGAGGTTCACCACAAATTGTGCGCCTTGCAAACGATCGAGGACATGTCTCAAGTGCCGTTCATGTTTCTCTTTGGTTTTGCTAAAGGCCAAGATGTCATCAAGATATACCATCGCAAAATCATCAACACAGTTACCCAATGTTGCATTCATTTGAGCTTGAAAGATTGATGGGCTGTTGGCTAATCCAAAAGGTAGCACACGCCAACTAAACTTGCCATAACGTGTGTTCATAGCTGTCTTTGGTGCATCTGCAGGATCCAGCCGAATTTGATGGTATCCACTTTTGAGGTCCAAGCTGCTGAAAAATTTGGCGCCATGAAGTCGATCCAAACATTCATCAATACGTGGTAAAGGAGATGTGTTGCGAATAGTGGCCTTGTTGAGTGCTCGATAGTCAATGCACATTCTCATTGACTCATCCTTTTTTCGAACAAAAAGTAGTGGTGCTCCCCATGGTGACGTGCTTGGTTCGATTAAGCCTAAATCCAATAGCTCATTCAGTTGACGTTTAAGCTCATCCAATTCACGCGGGCTCATACGGTAAGGTGGGCGGTTGATTGGTGTAGCGTCACCCGTATTAATCGCATGAGGAATGCCTCGATCAGGTGGTAAGCCATTTAAACATTTGGTATCAAATACCTTAGGATATGCCGCAATGATTGACTTAATAAGAGCTGTATCACCTGAGTCTGCCGTGGCTGTATTGGTTGTAGTATCACCATCCATGATAGACGCCATCTCTGATGCATCGAGTAAATAACACTGCTCAACCTCATCATCCTTAAACAACCGATTGAGCTCCTTTGCCGAAAGAAGAGCGTGTGATTGATGATGAGATTGATCAATGGAATCCTGCTTCACTGGTTCCAACACATATCGTTGACCACCATGATGTATAAACCAACGATCAGTAGGCCAATGAGGTTGGGGGAAAACTTTTTGTAACCACGCTTGTCCCAAGATGACATCGAACTTGGAATCGAAAAGATATACTGGGAGATCCGTTTCCATGTACCCCCCTAGGTCCAATGTGATGTGTGCTCTTTTGGATATCGAAGTGTGTGCACCGTTAGCAGTCTCCACATTTCGCTTGGTAATAGAGACCACGTGATTTGCCTTTGATTGTAAACGAGGTGACATGTAATTTGCACTAGCACCACTATCGATGAGGATAGATACAGGATGCCCATTAATGTAACCACGATGTAATGGTAAACCCGTTCCGGTGGATGATGCATATAACAAATGGCGTGCTAAGAACGAGTGGTCTTTTTCCCAAGTGGTGTCTCCCATCACCTCCTCTCCTTTTTGCTCTGCATCCAATAATAAATCCGCCATACAAGGATACGAAGTAGAAGTTGTATCTCTATTGGCATCATTGTGGGGATGGGGGTCTATGGAACGAGTGGCTAAATCAAATTGTGCTTCATCCAGGACGACCTCGTTGGACTTGTTGATATCCATGGCATTGAATTGATGTAGCTGAGTGCGATGAGTGGAGTGGGCTGAAGCATCCAAACGTTGAATAAAGGCATTAAAAGCGTGATTCCTTGTTGGGTAATTTCGTTCCACATGACCTTCTGTGCCACAGTGCCACCAAATGACATTAGCATTATGGTTACGACGAGGTCCCATACCACGGCCACGACCGCCACGACCACCAAAATGCATTGTGATATATGGAGATAGAGATGTGTGTGTGTGTGTGATAGCTGTAGAGCGAGAACTGGTAACAGTAAGTGTCCGTGAGACTCGATAAAGAGAAAGAAGACAAAGTTTATTTTGGATGACTACACGTTGTGTATATAGATGTGATGATGCAATCATGCTGAGTATGAAAGATGATGGTGATGAGATCTTGAGAATACGACATTACCCCCCTCCAGATTGAAGGATGCGTGAGCAGGAAGGTGTGGAAGAAGTGTGAAGAATGAGAAGTGTGATGCACGTGGTTGGCGTAGTCATAAAAACCCTGTGTAAAAAACCCAGGGGAAAAAGTAAAAAGGGAAAAGACACTGCCGTGCATGATAATGCGAGAT